AAGGCTTTGGATGGGAAACAATCCAAACTGTCAACTTTTACAGCTTATAATATATAGCTGGTGCTGATTTTAAGTCTCAGACAGAGAAGTGAAGCAGTCCAAATTATCTGTATGTCAACAACGTGAGCTCATGGTAAGTCCCTGATTCTCCCATGTTGGAGAGACAGAGAAACACGCTCCTCAGCTCTGGCAGCCCCGTCTGGGGCCTTTTCTTTTTAGAGGCTTCTAATCCTGGTGGGTCTGTGCTCTGACGTCACAGGGCCCTTCTCCACACCCCTCTGTCTGCCGATGTGCTGTACCCACACTCTCATTTCCTCCGCAGCTCACGAACACCAATCACTGCTCCACTCCCTCTGGCCTCTGACGCTTGAGCATCTGATTAAAACAAACTGCCTCATCTGGCCAGCGGAAGGGGTTAAACTTTGGAGAAGGGAGGCGCTGTGTGAAAGTGTGGGCCAGTGTGAGTGAGAAGCAGCCCGCCGAGCTCCCCGGTTCGTTTTCCCCCCACTTATGTTGTATATTTCGTATTTGGCTGCCTGGGCCGCATCATGTGACCAGGAAGCATGGCTCTCCTCCATTTCCCCTCCTAACAGAAAGGAAATATTCTAACGGAGGGGGGCGGCGCTGGGCTCTGTTACGTCGCCAGTTAAAAATAACTGGCATATTTAAGGCTGCTGAGGAATCCCAGGGCAGGCAAAGGCTGGACAGCTTGCCGCCCGGCAGGAGCTCTCCGCTCACACTCAGTTTCTTGCTCGCTTCTTACTTTCTTTGCTCGGTGTCTGTACACCAAATCTGTAACATACCCACCAACATAACGCCACACCTCAACAACATTTTTCCTGCGCCAGCAGAAGCCCATCACTGTATTGAATGACCTGAGGAAACTGTGGTGCCTTGTCACAACTTTGTACAGCTACACAGGCTTGGATGGGATTGTCCAAACAAGAAGCCCTTCTGATTTAAACCTCATCTATATACAGACCATTACACTGTTGAATAGTCGACCAACACATGTTGGGAAAACAAATGGAGAAAAATTAGCTAATTGCAATGAATTTTGCGACCGTCCTAACTTGTGCATGCCTGGACTAAAGAAACAGGTGCTTTACTCTGTGAGCCACGCTGAACTGAATTTTAAACTTCCAGATTTCTGGAAAAGAGCCTCGTATGACATACCAGATCAGCAATCCTGATCAAAGAATTTTTTTTTGTTTTTTAAAAGCTTAAAATAACAAATGTAGTCTAAAATATTATATTTGAAATGTTTTCTTAATATGAAACATCTGCAGATATCAGTTTTTATAACTTACAGAAAAACATAACTACAGAAAATCTGCAGTTTTGAGTTGAAGCGGTTGTTCAAATGACCATTGTTGTTTTTTAAAACTAAAAAGTCAATTTGATGTCATTTTTGGATACTCAATAAGTCCATGAGTTTTACATGTCCAGACTTTAAGCCATTGGAATAATTCTAATGGCGGACATAGATTCCTGAACTCTACTTACACAGGTACGGTTACACGTGAAGTCTTACGGTTAATACCGAGACGTTCAACCATAGCCACAGCTGTTCAACTGACCATAGCCACAGCTGTTCATGTGACCATAGAAATAATGAAAGTACACCTACAGTCAGTGCACCATTTTCAGGGCTCTCCAAAAGTAAATATTCAAAAAGCCATCTGAGCCTCATTCTTTTTTGGCTTTTTGCCCGGTGACAAAACACACAAGGCACTTCTACATACATTTATAATTGTTTTAAAGTTAATGTGAGGTTTGAGGGGGGAAGTGGAGCATGGAGAATCAACAAAGTTTGACTCAGCTTTCAAGAATTAAGGAAAGAATGAAAGCTATTTTTTAATTACTGTACGGCATCTGGAAGAGAGCACAGAAAACCTCAATATCTGGAATTATGATCCGCTGATACTCATATGCACTTGGATGTTTTCCAGGAGGGGGAACTTGACTGCGGGACAGCAATGGTAATGGTAATTGAAAAATCTAAAACACTAAAAGCATACTTTTCTTTCCCTGTGTTCACATTGTTGTCACACCTCTCAGGCCTGTGTTAATTCTACTACGATTGTTTCATCTGAAACTTTGAGAACAGCCAAGAACAACACCTGAGCTCACCTGAGCTAAAACCTAACTGTGGTGATGATGCCTCTGTAGGTGTGCATCCTGACAGGCATACGTTATTCCAGGGGCGAAGCATTTAAAAAAAAAGATCCTCAAGACAATTGTTGAAGTCTGTAATAGGAAAATATTAGACATCTCACACTAAGTTAGTTATCATCACCTATCCTTGCTGATACAAAAACATTGCGTCAGTCTAACCACATCCGATCCTGATGTCACCACCACCTTAAACATAATCGCTCAAAGTGTGTTGAATTGAATGATTCACTTAGGAAACCACACTGTGGATTCTCTTTTTTTCCTATTTTGACACTACATTCAGTTTGTACCGTAAGTGTTGCATGAACGTCTTCCGCATAAGCATTTGGTGTGAGTTACTGAATCCTCATGACTTCATTGTGTCAGGAGGAGAACAGAGCAGACAGTGGTGTCATCTTCTCTGCCTTTATCTGTATTCTCCACCCCTCCACTACCTGCCATTATAGCAACACACAGCATCCTCAGCTGTCAAAGTCAGGCCTTTGTTTCCAGGATCGCATTCGAAACCATTATCTCCCATCATAAAGAATCTGGCTATAATGACACAGTTTGCATTGTGTCCCTGCCTGCTTTAGGAAGCAAGTCTTCAACAACAGGATACACAGTCCAACCTCAGTCGGTTAAGACAGCCCACCTTACTGAACATTTAGAAAAAATACGTTTAAGACACTTATTTGCTCTGAATTGTGTCAGAAAGTTCATATGTCAAACATTTTAGCATGAGTTTCCCAACAGGATACGCTCTGTATTGACAAGTTCTTGCTCCATTGTAGTTTTGACGTTTTTCCCACAGGTTGTGTTTGCCAACTAAAGCTCTTTGCATTCATGCAACTTCAAACTGTGCATCAAGACACCAGCAGACATTTACAGTTAAGGAGTCCTGTTGAAATGACGGCATGTTTGTTGACATGCCTAACAGACGAGATCCTGATGCAGCAGGATCAGCAGCGAGCCCTTTGTTTGCTCTCGCAATGAACTCTTGAGTCAATGTGTCTAATTATATTGAATAGCGGGGGTTTGTGTTCGCTCCAAAGCCACGAGCAAACATTGGAACTACTCAACTCAGATGCACTGCAATATCTTATCGTTCCCAGGTGAGAAATACACAAAAGAAATGCTCATATTACTTTTATATTGTTCATAATTGTGCTGTAAAGTGTATGATCTGACCTGAGATGAGATGTGTGCTCCAAAAAAAACAATGGTCCCTCACAAAGGACACCAGTGAACTCATGTTGATCACACGATATACTTCTTGCAGTCATTAGACCTCAAGTTTTACTCGTGCTGGTTTTTGGACGGATGTATATCACAGAGAAATTGACATCGTGATCATTGACACGTCAAATGAGGGAATATCATTTGGAAAAATTAAGATCCAACCTATCTAATGGTTTTATAGAGACGTGAGGAGTAAGTGTCAGTGCTAACAGGGGCATGGACAGGGTGTTTGAGATTGTATGCTGTTTTGGTTCCATGGCACTATTTTCAGATCAGTGAAACAGAATTTATCCAAAATTGAAAAACTTGAATCTTTTTCATGCTTTACATTTATGCAAATCAGAACACAATAAATCAGATATTCTGTCATTGAGGAGTGTAATTATAACATTTCTGAAATATCTACCACCATAACAAAGGTAGTAATTGGTTTAATAATATAAATCAATTAGACACTTTACGCAAAACTTTGATCTGACAGAGGCTCAGTCATTCATGGTCTGCTTTATATCATCTTACTTTAACACAAACATGACAGAAAATGCTCTTTTGATGGTATTTATGTTTGACTGAACAAAATGAAGTGAATATTCATATCTGGTTTTCAGATTTTTGTTCCAGGAATCTTTATTTCGATCTTTAGATAATGGCTCTTTTCTCATCTCACCAAGGAATTTTAGAAAAAACAACAACATATTAATGTGAGAACTATTCACAGTTGCAATGATATGTTACCTATTCATGACTAGCATTGTTCAAACTAATGACTTCAGTAATGTACAAGTTTTATGGTTTTATGGTGTTATATAAGTCACTATAGCTGAAGAGTAATTGGTATAATAAATTGATAATCATACTCTGTTTCGTAGAATCCCCTCTCCTCCAACTGATTGTATATGTAAAAAGTATCCACATATGAATCTAATTTATTATTCTGATTTAATCTGTTAAAATGAAAATACGTATCCTGATACAGGTTTTATATACCTGGTATGCATTAGAATCTGGTAGAATGGGTACTTTTGGGCCTCAGGGTTACATGCACGCCTACAGGTGGCCCCACAGAAATAACAGCCGGTATTCCCGTGTCAGAGTGTGTGTGGCAACTGGAAAGTTACGCTTATTAAACTACTTTTTACATAAATAAGCGCAGTAAGGACTGGTACCGTTGCTATGAATATCAACAAAGCTCTTTCAGCCTCCCTCTCTCTCCCTCTCTCTCTCTTTCTCTCTCTCCCTCCTTTTACTCCCCTAACCTCCTCCTCCTGCCCCTCCTCCTCCTCCTCCTCCTCCTCACCCCGCTAATGTTTTCCTGCGCGCGTTGCTGCGCAACGAAGGCGTTTCCCTGTGATTTAAGGATACCTCTCACGCGGTTTCCTCATTCAGACTGCCCGGTCCCTGCTCGGCAACAGGCGGGAGGGATTCCCCTGTTCGTCGTCTCTCTGTCTTCCCCCTTTTTTTTCCTGACCAGCCCCAGCGTTGAGAGGGACAGCCAGTCTGGCTGCTTTCACCGGCCAGCCCATCAGTGGCGGCATGTCCACGGGCCAGCGAGCAGCGCGCGTCGCGGAGCGCAAACTTTAAACCGGGGGAATTACCGACTCAAAAAAAAAAAAAAAACAGAAAGAAAGAAAGAAAATAGTGCACTCAGTGGGAGGAAAAGCCAAAAGGACTTCGGACACAGTTTTTTTTTCTATGTGATGAGGTGAAAACTCCTTGCGCCTGACTGGTTCACATCTCTTTTTTTTTGTTTTGGAGTATATGAGAGACAACGTCCGCTCCTCCTGGACCACCCCGCAGGGATTTATACCATGTTTTCTGTGTGATTTCAGGCAGCCTCCAAATGACGTCGAGATGGCTTTAGGTGGGACCCTTTTGCCATCCATTTCCACGTTTGCCAGCAGCCCCACTGACAAGAGTAGATCCATAGGAACTGCCAATCTAGTGAGTACCATGCTGTCGTTTGTTATTCCGTGCCAAATGGACACGGGCATTGAAGGAAGAAAAAAAAAACGTGAGGGGAAGTATGCAGTCTATTTAGAGAGGGCTTGTTTTCCATTGTAGCTCCCTTGTTATTACTACAGTCAAGGCTTGACACCACGCTCTGCTGGGGCGTGCACCGGTTTACACAGGCTGCTCCTGTAGGTTTTTACAGCGAATGGAGACAAACAGGCCAAAAACACACACATTTACTCCTAAAACAGGCATGGAATATAGATGCCACGTGTGACAGGTATCAAACCCTGCACAGGGATTTTTAAGAATCAAATAACTGTTATCTGAGTATGATCGTGTATCCTATTTTATAGGAATTATAGACCACTTTCACTCACCCAAGTCACTTATGGGACATTCCGATGAAGTGGATAGAGGCTAAAACAAACATATTTTCCTTGCACCGCAGGTTCCAGTTACAGCTAACAATGTTTTCCAGTAAGAGGTTCTACACCTGACTGGGCTATATGGCGGAGCTGACAGGGTTTTCACTCTCCATTGCATATCTACACTCTGCTTTCCTTCAATGGGTTCCCCACATTCTATTTAAAACAAGTTAGGAAGGGAGAGTTAGGGAGAACAGGACATGTGTAGTTTTGTCTCTTTTTTATGAACAGAAAACTAACAAAAAGAAGTTAATTGTCCCACTGCAGTCATTAATGTCATTAATGTAACTTTCCTCTAGAAATGGAAGGAGGAGTTGTCTCTTCTTAAGAGATCCAGTGTTCCAGCAGGAAGTAGCTGCCCTGACCAGGACCATCTCACTGCCACCTGCATAACGAGCACCAGCATGTCCAAGAAAGACACCGAACCAGATTTGGACTTAGACTACGACTTCATTTTGTCCAACTCCATTCTACAGCAACAGCAGCAGCAGCAGCAACAGCAGGAGGACGCCATGGCATGTAGCTCCGCTCAGGCCCTGTCTCCTTCACCCAGTTCCTTCTCCTCGTCCTACCAGCTTCCCTCTCCTCAGGACTCGGCCAGTGAGCTGCTCTATACCATCCCAGACATTAGCGACGTTTCCCCCTCCGGAGGCTTTGTGGCCGAACTCATGAGACCGGAGTTGGACCCCGCGTACCTCCACCCCACCAGCCTCCACGGCAAGTTCGTCGTCAAGACAACAATGGACATGGGAGAGTACAGCCAAGGCATGAGTGTAGGCAAGGCCTGCGTCGGCACCGTGTCAGACTCAGCCTCCTCACGTGCCTCGCCGTCCTTCCCGTGCCACAGGATAAAGCAGGAGAACCCCAGTAACTGCACCATCTCTCAGCCCATAGACTTGCACCTTGCAGGGGTCAACTCGCAGGGCAGGGGGGGCCATCAGCGGCCCAGCCACCTGGATCTACATGGGTTCTCAGGCGGAGGCCGGTCCATGACAGGCAGCAGGTTGTCCTCGTCGTCCTCCCTCTCCCCAGACAACGGCCTCTGTCGGGAGCACCAGCTCGGCCATGCCCTCGCTCAGATCCCACTACCTCCGCAGGGATACCACCATAGCTCCTCGCAGGGCTACCCGTCCTACCCCCAGACGTCCTCCATGCAGTACCCAGGTCATTATCGCATTTTCCGAAGCTGTTCTCTAGATTTGGTTGTTGTTTCTCGTTGTTGAAAATGTAGATTTTATGATCTGAAACAGGTTAGCAAAGGTTAGACAGAAGAATTGTACAATCAGAGTTTAGTCATTTAAAAATTAGGCTATATAGCTATAGATTGAAGTTATTCAATTTTAATGAAAAAAAGGATTGTTTAATTTTTTGTTCCATAAGATCAATATTGTTCATTTTCAAACCTGGAATGGAATAAATGGAAGATCATGTTTTCCAAGCCATTATAATGTAATAGATATATAATGAATAAGTTATTCTCAAACTTATTGGGATCCTCTTCTTTGAAGCAAACATTGCTTGATCTACATTCTCTCCATGGTGAATTGTTGAAAATAGACTGATGACGATCTTTTTATTCCACAGAAGCCCTTATGATCTCCAGTGGGGACTGCTTGCCAGAGGAGCCAAAGCCTAAACGAGGGAGACGTTCCTGGCCAAGGAAGAGAGTCGCCACACACACATGTGACTACGTTGGCTGTGGGAAAACCTACACAAAGAGCTCCCACCTGAAAGCACATCACCGCACACACACAGGTATGCAAATGATCGTGCTCTTTGTAGTGTTTTTCCTAATTGTTTTTTGTCGCTCTTCACCCAACGTGACATAGAAGCTCACGTCTGTCTCATTAAGCATCGCTATTTTGTTGCCTAGAGCTATTCAACTTTCTATTTTCATTGTTTAATAATCAAAAGAGTCACATCACGTTAAGCACAAAACGCATTGAGGTATTGAGTCATGAAAAGAGCTTAGATGGGTGGGGGATGGGAGTTGTTTGTCAGGTGCAGTGGAACAGGTTGATACTTATCCCTGCCCAAATACAAACCCCAGGCTGATAGCTGTGGCCTTTACACATGAGCTGCAGGACAGGATGGACCTCTTTTCTCGTGGAGGTTTGGAAGCCTGGGCCATTTTAACCTCAGGGCTGGTGCTAACTGCTCTGTGTGTATTGTGTTTTCATCAAAGGGGAGAAGCCTTACCACTGCGACTGGGAGGGCTGTGGCTGGAAGTTTGCGCGTTCGGATGAGCTCACTCGCCACTACAGGAAACATACGGGTCATCGACCATTTCAGTGTCAGAAATGTGACCGGGCCTTTTCTAGATCAGACCACCTTGCTCTCCACATGAAAAGACACTTATGAGACTTGGCCGAAGGACCAGACAAGATGACAAAAGTTGAAGGCTCCAGGAAAATATCTCTTTATGAAGTATATACATATCTATATATGTGTATATATATAGCAAAATCCTGCACGAACATGTGCTCTACACTTTCAAAAACCGTAACTTGCCTTCAAGTCAGCATCAAGCAACGAGACTAGCTGTGGTGTTCATGGCTATAAGAGAATCACTCCTTCCAGAGCCTTCTCTTGCACATTGTGCAGGTGACTCAACAAGACCTCTCCGCCAGGGTTGTAAACTTTTATGAAAGGGACCAAACTGGAATTTGTCTTATTTAACCGACAAAACTTGGAGGACCAGGTGCCAACAGCTTTTAACTGGAAATGTCAGGGAAACCAGGAGCAACAGACAAAACATCTCCAGAGGCCTTCTACCAGCAACATGCCATCACAGGCTCTGTTAACTACACACTGTTCCAAATACTGTATTACCTAATACGTCTATATTTATATTCCTATGTCACCTGCATTGCCACGGATTTCAGGTACAATGTTAATTTATACAGAATGGTGCTAGGTCACTCTAAAGAAGGTGTTTCTTTATGTCTTTGAAAAGGTACCAAAGATTAAGGAGAATAGATAAAAAGATTCAATGCAAAAGTGCCATAAAGTTGTTCTTGTGTTTCTTGGAAAACTCTTCGACATTCTGACTTCAGGTGAATACTTCACTTTTTAAAATGGTGATGGCAATCTTCAATGCACTGCAATTGCAAAGTGCAATTATTTATATGAGACATTCATATTTTTGTATTGAATGAGTAACTCTGAACAAAAGTTTTTTGTTTATAGCCAAAATATGTAATATAATCTCAAATTTTGTAGATTTGTAAATAAAAACACTTTGTTTATGTTTTGTATTTTACAGTATGATACAAAAGAAATGTCTTTGAAATAAGAAAAAACGAAGACGTCTACGCTTTACAGACAAAGCCCAATATTGTCATTGAAAACAAAGAAAAAACATGTAAAGTATATTAGATGTACAATAAATGCCATACATGTGAAGCAAAGTTTCCTTCTCATCAGTTATATTGAAGTTTTGTCTGATAGTGTAATGAAAGAGCATGTTTAAATGTCAGCTTTAGCTCACAGTCTCCTCACACACAATGTCCTCCCTGATAATCGTGGGACTGCCGCAGGCAAAATAACACAATGTTGCAGTTAAAAGATTCTCTAAAGAAAATTCAGTCCCACAATGTCCAGTTTCCGCGGGTTTCTCTTTCCACCTGTCAGGAGAAAGAAAGGGGAAGACAACAAAGTTACTGGCTGATAGTCAAGGGTGACACCAGATCTGACTGCTACTCTGAGCTGGAGTTCTCAAGTGGACAATATGAATAAAAAAAGGAGGGAAAAAAACCCCATAGATCGTGCAGTTAGATAGTGCTTCCGTGGGTTCTGTCAAACGGTTATTTTCAGAATTTCATTGTTTTTAGTGCTGATATTAAATGTCATGAGGGCTAATATATGGACATGTCATAGTGCCTTAAAAATGCAATGATTAGATATAGTACGGTATTGTGTGCAGTAACGACTCAGCAACTTGTCATAGACCTTCAAATTAGTCAGAAATAAACAATATAACCATTTCTAGACTTGTGAATAAATCCTAAATAAAGACCTTTGCAAACCTGTTTTCAGCTTACAGAGAAACATTTTCTCTCACTGCCCCGTCAAACTAATTGGGGGCAGGGTAAACAAGATAAAGAACAGGTATGAAACACTAAAGAAAAAAAGAAATCCTACTTTAACACCTTACAAGTTGATTTAGCTGGAAGCAGGTCAGAAACAGGACAGGGTTAGACTTAGAGATGGGAAGGAGTATTATGAGGGATGGTGTGAGAAAAAGGTTTCAAAACTAAAAATAACTCTACGTGTGAAATTTAAAACTATTTGATCGTTTCAACATCTAAGGCACAAAATGAAAAAGAGAATATGAGATTACTGAATAATTGTGAAGTTTGGGTGCTCAGTCAGAGCTGCATATTAAAGAGAATTAATTCTGAGGAGTCACAGTATGTCGCTCACTGCATTCAGTGCATGAAAGTGGAACATTTCAAAAGAAGAAAATGCAGACAAGTAGATCCTGAAACACCGCTACCTTCTTTGAGCCCAGCTCATCTGGAATAGACTGTGGTGAAGTGGAATTCTTTCCTGTGGTTTGATGAATCCTGATATGATATCTTTCTTTTAGACATCATAGGGTTCTCATCTGCCAGGCTGAAAGCACCAACGGGATGGTGGTGTATCAGCGCACATGGCGGGGGAACCCTGTGCCTTCCTGATGGCACCAGGAATGCTGGGTGATATGTTATAGTGTTTCCAGGAACAAATCCAACGCAATGACATCTCTCAGGTGAGGCCATGCTCATGATATGGTTTCAATTATTACTGGAAAAACTTTAATTCCACTCTTATTCATATTTTATAAGTCATAATTTATATTTAATAACAGCGGATTTAGGCTCTTATAAGAGAATCTATGGTGTTTGACGTTAATCATTTTGATTACGTAAACAAAGTGCGGCTTAGTTAGTTAATTGCACTCTTTTAAATTGTATTAATTTAAATCATTTTGCTCCATAACATTCCTACATTATACATCTATATCAAATAACAAATGTACCATGTGTAAACTGAAATAAAAAACTAATGAGTAACTATGGTTATTTCAGCTTTCAAAGTCATATTATTGATGCATTACTATAGTTTAAAGTCACACATCTTAGGGTGCATCTTGATCTAAAACATTTTGTGGTCTTGAGTTGCCCCCTACAGGTTTATTCATTCAAAGCACTCTGAGCTCCTCAGCTCCACCTCCAGCTGACAAACGGCATAGTTCATGCTAAACAAACAAAACATACAAAAAAATTTAAAAATATATAGAGTAAGGATAACATGACAAAGGAACCTCAAAGTAAACATACCTTTAAGACATCCGTTGTTTGTGGTTTTCAGGTTAGTTTCAGTGCAGCACAATAGTGTGTTTTGTTTCAATCTCGTGAGCAAACGTTAGACACTGAGCAAAAGTTCCTCTAAAACAAGTCTTACCTCGCAAATGTGAATTTCACACACAATGGAGTGATGCCATAATTATATCCGATGGCTTAAAGACCCCTCAATAGTTATTAAAGTTAAATAGAAAAGAAAGTTCCATTTGTGTTGTTTGATTTGCTCAAATTTACATTTTAAAATGTTAATTTATAAATATTTTCATATTTCAATATTTATAGTTTCAATGCAATATGTACCAAAATGTTTCTCAAACCAAACTGCCAAAGCAAAATCATTTTGGTCTTCATTCAGGAATAAAAACAATTGGCACAAAGGTGAATTCTGATGCAAAATCATTGGACTTTAATCATTCCTCCATTTTAACCTGTCAACAAACAGACTGTTTTTGTACAGCAGCAAGTAGCTGATAATGATCCAGTGTTACCAAGAGAATTAAAGGTGGAAGTGGTGAATAAAATACTTTGCAAATTAAAAGGGCTGTTGTACACAAATACTGAACATCTGCAATCAAAAAGTGGAGGAAGAAGAAGCGTGAAAACGACGAAGATGGTTCCTTCAGTCATCGTCAAAGTTCTGTTGTAAAAGGAAGTTGGCAGCCAGGTTCTCGTTCTTCTCACAGGCGAAGTAGGCTTGTATAACAAGTCCCTCCGGAAACCCCAAGGCTTTTAGCTGCAGTTGCACAAGAAAGAAAAGAGACGGACACCAGTTAAACAGTTAGAAACAAGTGTGACAATTTATTGCTCAGACTTTCTAAGATTAGCTCGTTCCTGTAGAATGAAAATAATCCACAAGTGTTTTTTCCTTTAGCAAATTTCATTGGGCACTTATGGAAATATGCTTCTCCTCACCCTCTCGATGGCCTCTTTCTCCTGTGGCGTGACCTGGATGTAGCTCATACTACTTCCACCCGGAGTATCGCCTCCCATCCCTCCTGCTCCTCCTGCTCCTCCGGCTGCAGCCACTCCTCCTGCTCCCCCTCCGCCGCCCGCGGGCACGGGGTCTGGATTAGGCTCATTCAGCATCTGAATGAACTGCTCTTGATGGTTGCTGATCTCCTGCAGCGATGAGTCAACATGTAAGGAAGGCTTTGTGGCACGAAACTAAACCGAATGAAGGACGTGCCATCACTGACAAACACCAACAAACTGAACTGTAATCAGTGCTGAACCAACGATGCAAAAGGGTCCAAATGGTTAACAAAAACAAAAAAATACAGTTATTATTGTATATGTCAAATTAGTGGAGCGTCCCTGGAAATGGACAGTAACTTTGAGGGCGTGAACTGTATTTAATCAGGAGTGAAGTGTACTTGAAAAAACCCTGTCCCCGGTTCACCTGCAGCAGCTCTGGGTTCTCCCGGCCGATCTCCTGCAGCAGGGCGGGAAGCAGCGCAGCGTTCTGCTGGATCAGCTGCCGCATGACGTGGAACTGAGGCTGACCTCGGAGGAAGCTCAAGGGATTGCCTGAAAGAATTGGAAAAGCGGGAGCGCCGCATGGCAGGAAAAAAAAAAGAAAAAAAAAGGGAGGCACAGGAAGGATAGTTAAAGAAAAAACATGGCTTCAGTGAGGCAGTGGCGACGCGGGGAGCGGGCCGGGCCGTTTACCTCCGCCTGCACTGGGTGAGGAGCCGGTGCTGGCAGGAAGAGTGATGCCAGCAGTGGGGGCGGCCGGAGTTCCGCCCACTGGAAGAACCGCTGCATCCGGTCCTGTTGGCGGGCTCTGATCCCTGCCTGGGATACCCTGTGGGGCACAAGTCAGGACTCTATCTCATTAACGTGTCACACAAGAATGAGCAAGATTGTGTCTCGCGGTTTATTTTTCACATCAAACAGCACTTCAGTTTTCACGTTTGTGGCATGAAATCGTAGCATTACTCAGCAGACAGCTTGGAGTGCTGCTGTGAGGTAGAATACATGCTACGAGTTTCCTTGTCAAGTCGATTGGTAGCCAAAAAGCTCAGCTTTGGGACGGCCAAATAACGAAGTGCATTATTTTAAGCGAAGGCAAAGGCAGGGTTCCTCTTACCGAGAGCAGGTATTCCACGGCGCGGTCTGGATTGTTGAAGCTGGCTCTCAGAGCCGCCACCACCTGCTCTCTCTCGTAGCCCATGAGCATCATCTCGTTGACCATGGCGTCGTACGATGAGCCCGTCACTGAAACGACAGAAATGACGGCGGGTGGGTGAACGTGACAGGTTTCCACACACGATCTGAAGCATGCCTTACGAGCGATTCAGCTTTAATGACTCATTTCCCGTCAGACCCAGCAACAATAAAGCAACAGCCGTTACAGATGGAGCTTTACCCAGAGTGGAGACCGCCTCATTGATCAAATTGGTGTTGGTCGACACCTCAGAGCTTCTGCAAAACAAACAGAGAGCTCGGGTGAAGGAAGACCTAGTTGCCATTATCCCAGACCGGCTCAAACTAAATAAATCCTGAAATGCTGAGTGTCTGCTCATGTTTACTCGACAGGGGTGGAAGAGGATTCAGCTGCAGAGGTGGGCTTCTCCTCCGGCTTGCTGTCAGCAGAGGGATTCTCCGTGGGTTTGTCTGCAGTTGACGATGAGACGGCGGGTGCTGCTGTCGGGGCTGTGGAGCTGGCAGCCGAAGCAGCAGGTGAAGGCAGCGGGGTGGCTGAGGCTGTTTTAGGCTGGGAGACAAATGAAAGAGATTGAAAATTGTGTCCCCCCCCGTTGGACGTTCAACTCTTTTATTATCACTCTGCAACATCGAATCCATAAAAGACACTAAAAGCCCGACAGGACAGCATTCAACTCTCCATATCAGAGCCCACCGGCACAGAGAGAACAATCTCAAACACCGTTTTACTTTTCCAGAATTATGAGGCAACAAATTCTCAAACCTTTGTCACCATGATGACCACAAAGTTTTTCTCTTCGATTTTGTACTCTTTGAGAGCTGTGTCATCGCTGAGGATTTTACCTGCAAGCACAAACGTTTTACACAATTTACTAGATTAACTCACCATGACAGTGTTATTTAACAACTTAGCTCAGCTCATTAAAAAATATATTCGAAGAAAAAAAATCCTTCTTTGCAGTTACAAATCTGAGATTGAAATGGAAGCAAATTAAAAATTAAAAGTATTAGATAAAAGTAAACTAAATTAGTTCCATCAAAGAGCTCCCTCAGGCTCGGATGTAAGAGCTCCTTCTGCCGTGTAACAGTTTCACAGAAACTATTGATATCAACTTCTTTTGAATATGCGAGTTATAATGCAAGAGAGCCATTTGAACCATGAACAAATAAATTCAAACTTTTTGACAGAACAGATTCAGTAAGAACACACATCATACCAGCATATATCAGTTTCTGGCTTGCAACTGAAAAAAGGTCCTTCCCTTTCTCCTGTTCAATCCTCTCCTTTAAGGTTTTCACCTGTGAAAAAAAAATGGAGACGCTATTATGGTCATTTACTGCAAAAATGTGAACAATGCTTTGGATCTGCTCTTCTGGCACAGTTTTGCTCAGCCCTTCCCATCTGCAGTCTTACTGGAAGTCCAAATAAAGTCCAAAGTGTGCACTCACTGCTACAACCATAAAACTCAAGCTGAGCGGACTACTTAAGGGATGTTCCTCCACTGAAAGCCTGCTTTACACTGAATTAAAACCAAGTACTGAGTTTATAACTGCACACAGTTAATTCAAGCTTAATAACATTAGTAACAGCGTCATCTTCAGTGGCGTAACGTTAAGTATAACAGCGACATATTTAGCAAACACATCTGTACGTAAGTTCATCAGAAGTTAAAGATAAAACTTAGCCAGCTGGCTAACATCAAATTTTGACTGTTGAGCGGGCTATAGCTAATTAATGACGCTACTAATCACTTTATGGACACATTTTTAACTAAATCAGCCTAATCAATTTTGGACTGAACCCCCCAAAAAGCCTTATTTGTCCGAACAACTAACATATGATAAATAGACTGGTTGTGTTTTTGCAAACCAACCTATCGATCGTCCACACTGAGATAATCATAAACTGCCATTCGTTCCAGGTTATACCCAACTCCCACTCCACCCCCCTCACAACTGTTTTTAACTCTCACCGTTTCCTCTTCATCGATCTCGATTTTGAAAGTCTGTTGTTGTAAAGTCTTCAAAGTTATCAGCATTTTGTCGGTTGGTATTTTAAACCCTGGTCTGGTTCAAACTGCGAAATCCCAACTTGTAATAATCTTTACTATTTTTCGTTGGCTCATTACAAACTGTCAGCCGCCATGACTTTTCGGTTGTCTTCTTCTACGCTTAAATTCAAGCCTACAGCGCCCCCCGATGGTCAGACAGTTAACAACGTCAAAGTTTTAACCACTTATTTCCATATTTTCTTTTTTTAAATATATTTTTATTTATCTATTTATCATTGTTTTTTTTACATTTATTTTTATTTGTTCATTTTTTCAATATTTTTGTATTTTATAATATTATCTTATTTTTATTTTGCTTTGGAACTTATTTCATTTTTACCTTTCCACAAATAGCACTGCTGCAAACATTTCAAGATATACAAGCTTCCGGCTGGAGGACAACTGCGAAAGGATAAAAACTGGAATGGAGAACAAATGAATCAATTAATGAAATACCATTACCATATAATACAATTGCAGTCAAATGCTTTTTTTTGGCTTAATCCCATGAAGTTTATATTGGTACAGGTGTCCCTCCACAATAGAAGAATGTATTTGCTTAAAGTTCTTTTGCGGTCAAACGCGCTATGGTTTGAATATCTGTCTCATCAGCTCTTCTGCAGAACTTTGCAGGATAACATAACGTCAAAGTAGACCAATAATGCTCAATGGAGAAATATAAGAAGTCAACATGATCTGATAAATTTGTTTTCTTTTGCAACCTCTTTCTCAGTGTTTGTATGTGTGTCAACATGTGCTATACAACTGGAGAAAAAGATGGCAAATGAAATTAAAAGTGTACCTCAACAAATTTATGCTAAAAGCTTTTGTTCTTGACATTCTTTTATTAGATCAGGATCCCTTATCTCAGAATTCTCATATACCATGAGCACGAATTCCAACATCATTATCCCCTAACAGCAAAGGTGTCCTTTAGGACAGTACATTCTGCCATGCTGCATAAAGCTCAGGAGGGAGAGTTGCGTATTTATTCAACTGTGCAGCTTAAAGTGCTGAATTTTTCTCAGAATCACCCAGTTCTCAGCCTGTGTGAACATCTGTGGTATGTGAGTAATTGCAAATCTGATCCACAGAAGTCAAACTCAAAACTTAAAGGACTTAAAGGACCCACTGCCTTTCTGCCTGACAGCAAGGGAAACCTTCAGAGGCAGGCCTTGCTTAGAGCATTTCTTGGTGAGAATGACCTATAGTGTATTGGGCCCTTTTTTTCTACTTTGGGGTACATAGGTTGCATATTTGTGGTATATTTCCAACTAAAAATGTTGGAGAGAAGTTGAGTTTGTTCGTTCGGTTGCTGTACTCAGTTCTGACATCCACAGTTCCATGAAGTGTGCATGGAGGAATTTCAATTCCCATGTAGCACTCAGTATTCAGATGCATTATTTTCCTCTGTATTCAGTACAGCTGGTGTCCAGCTCTCACCCTGAGAGGACTGACAAGTGTGGAAGGCAGAGCCGAATGGTGCTTCTTCCCCAAACCACTACTTTCTCATTCACATACCCCTGACTCAAACTTCTGGTGGATTCGCAAAACAATCTTCCATTCTTTATTTCCCACTTCTCTTTCAACGCTTCTACTCCTCTTACATGTCTTGAATCCTGGCCTCCTCTTTTCTTTCTCCACTGAGTCCTTTCCTCCACCCAGTTGTCACAGAAGAAGCGAAGCTCTCACAGGCCCTGGCCTGAGCATTCTTCAGGCATTCCTTATGTCACTCCACTCAGCAACGGGGGCTGTGGCATTGCCCTCTTTTCTCCCCTCTTCACTGTGGCTGTGCCTCTTGTTCCTGTCTCCAGGGGTCGTCAGTCTGCCATCGGCCCCCACTGAAGTGTTGAGCCACAGAGATTACAGTCTGATCCCTGGTGACGTGGAGATATTTTTAAGAGATGATGTTAGACATGTGAAATAAAGACTCAGCCCACTCTAAAACAGGCAGAAGAGGAAATGCAGAGGACGTGTGATTGTGGTTTAGGGCAATAATACGGTTGTAGCTGATTATAAACAATCAAAAGACCCAAGTTAAGTCCCATTAACTAGTGGTATTGAGAATGAAAGAGTTTGAGAATATCATGCATCTAAATCAAAGCAGGCATTCAAAGAAGTGCCCAAATTTAGGCTGACATTTTTGGTTTGGGTCAGCAGAGTTCATGTTGGGAAGCACCAAGAAAAACAGATGGGTGGAAGGGAGTAAAGCAGAGAGAGGGCCACTGAGTGGCCTTCTTAACCCAAAGCTATTTCCTGTGAACAAGGTGCTTGGACTATCAATATTGTTCCAGGCACTCAGTGGTGGCTGACGCATGAAATTATTTTGTATGTGTCTCCAAAAATGGATATCCATGAACATGTTTTAGTTATAAAAAAAATGTTAATAAAAATGATGGGATGAGCACTAATTTGTTGCCCAGTATTTTAATCAATGGTGACTCAGCAAAGCTGAATCACCGGCTTGTTTCACAGCTGGAACTTAGCTGAGTGCAATTTACATTGTCATGTGTTCTCTTTGGGTACTTTCGACTCCTCCCACAGCTACAGAAACATTATGAGTTACATCACCCATCACCAAAATACAATATTTAAAGGTTAGTCATAAGTAACAACACAATATAACTACATGTATGTGTGGATGACTCATGCCTTCACAAAGAAGTCTATAGATTATCACCAGCTAGGCTGTGGCAAAGTGTAAAGGGCAGTTTGAAAGCACTGATATTTGATCATTTTAAAATCCTATTCAAACTGGAGACAATTAAGTGTTATTGTTACAAAATGCTCAAGTTCATGAGAAAGTGATACAATGTATCATAGTTGGGAAATGACTCAAAACCTGTCCTCCACACATGTTATAATTGGTTTCAAGTGAGAAAAAGTACATTTTATAGAACAAATTAATATAGCTTAGACAAGTACAATTAGCTGTTATCTGATAACTTTATTATCAAGTTAAAAAAAGACAATGAATTACAATATTTACAGAATATCCAGAGATAAATGGAATAAAATTGTAAACAATCATTCTAGGCAACATCACAACCCACCATCAGGTAATCAGATTTATATGGGATAAAAGGCAAGAAGGAGAGATTCTAATTTCAAACTATGGAGACAACAGTCTGAAAAGAGAAATGCATTGGAAACAAACTAAACATATATACAAGTATCCAGTGTGTTGTCAGCAGGGGCTTAACTTTGGGTAAACTGGGAGTATTACAGTCAAAAGACTGTACACAGTGAGGGATTCAGAGTCATTTTCCATTATAATGATCACAGAACAACAAACAATGTCAGGTTGACAGATTCATTACCCAGATTGTGTCAATTTGTCATCTGGTTTAAACTGGGCCGGGCGATAAGCTGCCTCACAAAGCTTTTTTTCTACAACAACTATTTTCAAACTGTTTAACTTTCAAGAAGATACAAGCTGGTCCTGCAAAACAGAAAAACAAATTTGAAACTCAGCACCAACCTAACCGGCTTTAAAGTATCTCAACGACTGGCAAGCACAGAAGGACAGCCACATCTTCACCTATCGTCAAACGGGTGCGCTTGGAGTGAGTGAGCTAGTGCTTGTTGTTGTCATGAAATCTGCTATCTTGCAAGAAGACAGTGGAGTGGAGTGCCAGACATTTGAACTGGACATTATGGGCTGAATCTCAATTATCAGGTGGACTAGAAATCCAGATGGTGCCAGAGCTCAAAGAAGGAGCAGGCAGTTCAGCTAAATGCCCCCAAAGGAACTGTTTGCACGTCTCTTCCCTTGCAGTTTTTGCTTCTTCACAAAAAAAAGCCTCGTCGATTAGTTACTAAGGAACGGAATAACTTTCCTCAAAGGCTTCATTTCGTACAACCACCCAAGCTTCCTTTTCGCTCACTCCTATTAAAGTAAGAAAGGGCATATTTTTAATTGCAACCAGACATTGTACAACGGCATTATAATGTTGGAGCAGAGGCTCAAAAGCCTCAAAAAGGTTAGGTTATAATTGTTTTCTTTATATTTCTCTTTTTTCTCCTTTAAAAAATGAGCACACCTAAAGGAAAACAAGGTTAAATAATCCTTTCTGAAACACGACAGTTCAAACACTTAACACGTTTTTTTTTCTATACATGGCTGCAAACATGTAGTTCAACGGGGTTCCACCCATACGACTTTATGGCCAAACGCAGATTTCCTATTTCCGTCTATAGTTCAATGCTTGAGAAAGACAATTACAGCAGCAAACACAGCAGGCTTGGTATTTTGGTACCAAGAACACAGTTGCATTGGTTGTGTTCTTCCACAACTTTGATGACAGAGCTATTAGCCATTTTTTATTTCCGATTGTTCAACATTGCTTATTGGTTTCATATGAATTGGACACAAATTTGACTTAATTGCTATTCACGTCTGATAAGGCTTTAGGGCATTCAAGCAGCAACTTCCAACAAATACAATCTCTGCCTTTTTTTAACATCAACAATAATATACCATTGTGAAAAAATAGAGAAAGAGAAAAAAAGAAAAGAAAAAAGCACACAAATGCAGACTATGACAGGATTTTTAAAGTTTTTAAGATGAGGAATATGACACCCTTTAAAAGTCTGTCATCTTTACAGTCCCGTTTACACTTGTCTTTTCAGCAAATCCTTCCAAACCAAAAGCAAGATCATGGACAACATCAACACATTGGTCAAAAGTTGATGACAAGTACCGGTTAGAAACTGTCATCACCAAAGCTAGAGGCTGAAAGGCAAAGACATCTGCCAATCACGTGGCCGGGGCTTCAAACCCTAACACTAAACAATTTGTCATCCCCTGACATTAGAAAAATGCCCTTAAAAATCATCCGAACGGATGCATTTCTCCCACAAACAGCATTCTTTCATTACAAAACTGATGTACTTTTTCAATGCTGCGGGTACAAACAACAAAACTCCACTTGCTTCTATTGATCCCCGTGAAGGCAGCAATCTCAGAAAAGATTACTTCCGAAGCCTGGCAAACAAGGGATGAGATGAGAATTCTTTTTTCAGGCCACTGTTTTAAGCTTTCCAATCAATGATGCTAAATTACATTTGTTCACATTTCATACTTACGTTGTCCAGGTATAATAAATGCAAATCGAATTGGATCTTATCTTGATTAGAGAAAGACCTTCTAGATATGCTATCATGGCATAGTGTGGACACAGTTAAATCAGTTTCTCAGCTGAGTTTGTTCAATGTTTAGATAACATTTGGGCAGAATTCTAGTTATTTTAAAAGTGTTTCTTAAAGCAATAAAAGCCATAGAGAATGACTGTATTCATTTGAATTGTAAGGCACTTTAATGCACTGGTTTCAAAACAAAGACCAAATTAATGTAATGTCGTCTGATCCTGTGCACAGTGTAATCAAGTGAACCTGATCACATACAGAAGTACATACTTTCGGGACCTCTGTAAGCTCAGGACACCACCCCTCCTCTAAACAAAGTGCACGGGGCTGGAGCCGGCACACCCAACCAAATATTTTGCATTGAAAAGACAAGTGTAATCTTGGCCAACAGGCCATCACACTTTAAACCTGCTGTTGAGACCCAGGCTAATCCTGAACGGATGCAGATACAGTCATGACACATTAAACACATTTGTTGTCTTACTGACTTAAATTTGATCTACAAACAACATGACAACTTACTGGGAAAAGGGATTTCTATGATTTCGTCAGTGAACTGAACATTAAATCAGCACAGGTAAAATGAGCTGGGCATCAAAGGTTGAAGGCTTATACGTAGTATAATTCAAGGGACCTAAATGACTTGAGTTTGCTACAATAACTGGGGAACATGGTCAGATCCTCTACAACTGAAGAAAACATGACGTGTGACTTCATTAAAAATAGATAAGGAGCGATTCTTAAGGAAGTTTTCTCACACATTTAACACAAGATGGAAACAAAAGTCCTTAATTCTGAAAATAAAAATCACGAGAACCAGTAGTTCTTCAGTGTGCCATGGTTGTGAATGCTTTCATACCTTGTTTGTTTGCTTTAAATAAATTCACAGAACCCCTCTTTTTGGATGAGCAGGATGGAGCATTCAGTAAAAGGTGCTTCAAATGATAAAATGCACAATTTTATTAATTGTTTTGGAGAATATTGTCTATAAATAGCTTAGTTTGATCTAGGTGGGATCTTTCACTGTAGATTTGACCAGAATGTCAGCAATAAAGAGTTCTGTTCACTATTGGTTACCAATATATTAAGATCTGTCCTAGGGGACTGCCCATTTAGAGAGCTCAGCCGTTTTATGCAGCACAACCTAATACTTATATATGCAACACCTAAAATCTACTAATGCACCAACTGATAAAAAAGTCACTTTTCTTTAAAGTTTCAGCCTCTCTATTTCCTTTGTTTCATTTTCCAATCCCACTCAGCGCTGATTCTACCCAGTTTCTAGCACAGTATCCTGAGAGGCAAGAGGTTCAACCAAACTACTGATCTCTTTTGGTGTCAAGCATTTCTTTGTCTTCCGCATACTGGCTTTGACTTGTCAGTGACAGATCAGCAGAGCCATCTTCCTCTTTACTGTTGCTGGCCACGTCCTGTCTCGTGTCTCCAAACACAGAAGAGCCGGTGGAAGATGGAACTGAGGCCTCTATTGCTGAGGTGGAGCCGGTGTCCGTCCGATTGTTGTTAACCACCCTGAGGATGGAGAAAGGACCAGTGTAAAAACTAATGAACGCATTTTAGAAAACAGATTAGAAAAAAAGTTGTTTGTTGTTGTTTTTTCTTGTTTTAATTACCTAAACAACAGTAAGAATCCAAATCTTTGGACCAACTACCTGCCACAGTTAGAAATAGTATATTGGGACAGTCTGTGAATAGTATAACCTATCTATCAGAAATGAAGCTAGAGCTACAGAGATGTACAAAGCCATGTTGTTTGTGTAGATAAACTTTTCTGTAAGTGGGGCAAATGAGTCACCGCAAAAGAGTCTAAAAGCGCCAACACAGGAATTCACCTAAAGGTCTATATGACAAAGGGCAAGTAAATATGTTAGATGTTGAGCATGTTTGAATGAAACCTTGTAGGAACAGTGCACAAGCTCACACATAAATTGAAGGAAGGAGGTTAAAAAACGGTACTAACATGCCATGTCGAAGGACGTGCCGCTCCCATTCGAGGCTGTTGGTGAAGCAGCGACCACAGAACTCACAGGGAAGACGCTTCTCTGCACAGCTTGGCCCAGAGCCAGTGCTACTGCTACTGGGAGATGCAAGGACCTCTGGGAAATGGAGTTCAAATTACATGTCAATTCAATAACATGGTAATTTCACAGGTGGTCATACTCTTAAAAAAACATAATCCTCCACTAAATACAGCAGAATACCTGCTTATCTTATACATTAATCTATTCTGTTGTCTTTGAGCCAGGAACACATTCTAGCTTTTGATGTATGCATTATGTACGTACAGTATATGCTTTGTCTGTTGTTTCTTCCCCTTTTAACCCGAGCACCTGACCTGTACAGGCCTGTAGCTTTTTTGCCCCTTTGTGCACAAAGACAAGTTCTATTTAGGGGGAAGGTAGGGTGACTGATGGCACTAACATGCAGACTTTATTCACCTGTGGAAGAGATATTTAAAACTGCAGGACACTTGTTTTGTTCTCTTGGTTAAATGGCTCATTAAATGGGACACAGACTTATTACATCCAGCCATTTTCTATATTTGTCCACCTCTTGCACAAAAAGGAAGGAAGCTAAAATTATGGCTCTTCCTCTGAAACTCCCCTAAATGCTTTCACTGTTTTCGGGCTACTCGATGGATTTACCTTGCATGGGAGGCTTTTCTTCCGCTGCCTCTTTGACTTCATTGTCTTCCTCCTCTTCCTCCTCCCCCTCATCCTCATCCTCTTTAAAGTTGTCCTCCAGGTCCTCGCCATCCATTTCTCTCTGGTCATCCACCATGTAGTCCATCATTTGCATTGCCTCATCATCATCCTCTATCTCATCCACATGTTGTTCTTCTTCTTCCAGTGCAGCTTCTCCATCCACCATCATCTGCATCATTTCTCTCTCCTCTTCTTCCCCTGTGCTGCTCCTGGGTCCCTTTATCATTTCAAGCTGGTCCAGGTTGACCCGACCCATCAGTTCAAAATTACGGACAACCTGATCGAAAACAGGGATTATTGTTCAGTTCAATGCTGTCATAATGATTGTGACAGTATCACAAACAGCTCAAACTTATTTAAGTATTCTGCAAGATTTAGCGCATTTCTTCTAGAAATTTATGCCACTTAAAAGTTAAACAGATGAAATGGCTGGTCCTTTTTTCAGTTTTGAAAAAATGAATAAATGTTGTGTCACTGTTCCCATTTGTAAAAATCCAGTGATTCATGACTATTTAAAAAATGTGTTGATGATATTTGCAGAAATAGACTATAAACTGCAATTCTGTCAAACACGAATATTTTAAGGAAGATAAAAGGCAGAGTATTCTTATTTCCTCTGCATCATGTCACAAACGATCACAGTGGTTCGGAGTGATTTCCTCCTCCCATACTCCCTGCAGACTTCTCTCTGAGCATGATGACTGTTCTTTGACTCCTCTACCTCACCCTGAAGGAACCTTGCTCTTCCATTTAATAGCAGGGATCTCTATATAAATCCATAGGAATAAAATTACATTAATCTAATACCTGAAACGCCTTATCAATAATGTAAACCTTCTAACGCACTGTTAATAGTGCATATACTGCTGGAGAAAGCCACCAATCAGCTCTCAATGTCCACCCCTCTGAATACTATGACAGCAAAAAGCACTGACCATGACACTAAAGTATTAATATCTCTAAGAATAAATTAATTTGAAAAAGAAGTCAGTAAGGTTACATTAAAAAAATGTACCACTATAGCTACAGAAACTATTATTATTACTAATGTTAATGGGATTTTCTTTCAATGGATGTCATGTTTCCCCTGTTAAGTGTTCCAGAGAGGTATTTTTGCTCTACTTTTTCTACATCAAATTTCCAACAATTCATCGCAGGACTACCAGACTCTTCCCTCGAAAATGTGTTATGTCCACCACATATTATTTTAAAAATATGTTGCTTTGATGGCAGTGGATAGGTTATATGTTTCATATAATGAGGTAAAAGAAAACTGCGAAGCCATTTAGAAATAACTCATCTCTTCAAAATGATGCAGTCTAAAACAGTTCTCACACAAACTGCATTTATCAAGATTTTGCTGTTTCAGTCGAAATATCGTTGCAAGAAATGTCACTATTCATGGACTGCAACTGACCTTGTGCTCAAGGCGTAGATGCTCCTCCAGCTGGCTCCGCCGACTGCTGTCATAGTAGCAGAGCTGGCACTGGTAGGGCTTGATCTCATCGTGCTTCTGCAGGTGCTGCTGCAGGGCCTGGTCACTGGAGCACGTGAAGGTGCATTTGTGGCAGCGGAACACCAGGCCCTGAAGGTGGCGTGACAGTTTGGAGCGGCTGACTTCGAGTGGAGCCACGCGCTCCTCTGGTGAAGGGAGTGGAGAAAGTGAAGTGGATTATTAGAGGAATACAGGAGTGAGGGTATTCCTCTTTGGGGGGAGATGTTTATACATGCAAAAAAAAAAAACGTAGGGGTTTGAAATGTGTAGAAGTGCATACACATCGCACAAAAAACACAAAGCAAATCCAGTAATCTTCTGCTGTTTTTTTAATATATACAGGTTTTATCAAACAATCCCGCACCCTTATAAAAAGAAATCAGCAGTTTCTCCACCAATGATCGTGGTTCTATTCTGAGCTTGCTTTTGGCTATGATCTCTCAGTTTTAGAAAAAAATATTGCCTAAATCAGGAGAAAATGCTCCTTGTTGCCTACATTTTCAAAACATATTTCTGACAATGGAATCAAATTTGCTAATCAGTTCGCTCAGCAGATGTTTGAATAATTCATTCATGTTTCATGATGGCCACAGACCTGATAACAATCAATATCAAATAGTTTTCTCATATGACTTTGAACACAATTTTTAGATAAAATACTTAAACATTCAAGGGAAAATGCACAGTTGCTTTCTTGCTGCGACTGATGCTAACTTATGTTTATCCATGAAGAGCAACAGGAGAGTGAAATGGCTGCAGAACCAACACCACAAGTAGTGCAGTGTAAATAAAATGAAACGGCAACAAAAGCTGCAAAGTTCACTACTGTAAACAAAGGCAGGCTGACCCCAGCGACTTCCTGAGGTCTCGATGTCACCAGAAAGTTGCCAAGCAACCCATGAGACCATGTGTAACTGAATACTAAAACACTTCTATCAAGAAATTTTAGCATTATGTGCAGAAATAAAAAACAACTGGTTCATCCGGTTCAAAGAACGTGAGGGTTAGAGCAAGTTATATTATGAGTTTAGTTAATCCCACACTAAAAACAGAAATTGGAGAAGCTTATCTTAAAATATTAACTTGAAGTGTAAGGGTTCGGTGAGTTGGCACAGACTGTCCCAATACAACATGACGAGCAGAATCTGCTGAACCTGTGTTTAGCTCCATTTTCACGCAGCATACCTCGGTGCAGAACAATGTGGTCGATCATGTTGCTCTTGTGTTTGGTGTGGTAGAGGCAGAGAGGGCAGCGCAGGTCTTTGGGAAGCTCCTCAGGTACAGTGTTGTTGTGACCAGCCTCCACATGCATATTGAAGGTATTCCTGAGACAGTTTTACAGGCAGTGAGTGACTCTTCTTTTTTTCTTTAGCTGCATGAACATCCTGATAAATGCCATACAGGAAAATTAACTGACTACCAGGAGGACTTTCTTACTTGTTGCAGGTAAAAAAAGAGCAGTCTTTGCATTTGAAGAGCTTCTTGCCACCGTGGCGGTCCCTGTAGTGCCGACGCAGACTCTGCATGTATCCAGAGCTGAACTCACAGAACTCGCATGTGAGGACGCCATCTGGACGACCGTCGAATGCTGTTGGACCACCGAGTTTTGAACTGGAAGACATTTGACTGCGGGAGGCCAGCTTGTAATGACTAAGCTGCTGACGAACATCCGCTGGCTCAAGATAAGATGGATCTGAGAGAGGGGTGGACAGAAGGACAGAATAGTTGTGCTTATTACAATGGTACTTCATATGTGAAATGAAAATCTGAAAAACAAAAAATGAGTACTGACTACTAAAGACAGAGGCAATGATTTGTGTGATCCTTTCATTGAACAACCAATGCAATCAGGCTTTATTTACTAAAGATCAAATAATGTATTTTCTGGTAGCCAAAGGAGAATTTACACACCCGTTTTCATTCCACAAGAGTCCTCATAGACTGATATAAAAGCACAGTAAGGTGACACAGCAGGAATTTTGCACAGCAGGATGGAATTCAACCCACTTTATATATGTTTTTCAGTTTGATTTGTCGGCTTCCTTTTTTTCTGTCAGTGTGAAATGTTTGGTTAGATCTTTGAAAACAGAATGCGAACAGTTCACAAAGGCTTTAACGGGAAAATCTGAACCAATGGAGTCTTGTGTTTCTCTTCAAAGACCTTTAACTCGCTTTGACGTGGGCTCCACAAAGTGTCTACTTCAAACGCTTTCTGCAGATACACAGTCATGTGGACAGCCTCTTGTTCCGATCACTGGGTTTCGCTCTGGTGACTGGAGTGCCCTAACCTCATTTATGAGACCAGCATGCAACTACTTTTCTGTGGCAACAATAGACTGGCTGACAACTGTCCAGTCCTGATCACGTCATAAAAAGAGACTACAAACTGTTACAATGAAAACAAAGATAGAAGGCTTGACTGAAACTATCTTTTACACGTCAGTCAATTATTTCAAGTTGAAAATTCCCACTGAAAGCAGTTAAATGTTTTGTTGAGTGTGATGTTTGAGGACTTGCTGTGATTTAAAAGATCATTATCATTCTCATAAGCGATCAGAATGAGAACTTGAGATGGATTGACAGATGTTGAAGCTCATCTGCATCAGTGTACAACATGTTTTGCATTCAAAGTAGCTTTTCTAATCACCACACTGACCACAGAACCGTGTCATCCGAGATACTGTGGCCTCTCTGTCAGCCCAAAGCAAGGTCATTCTCATCTGACCTCTTTCATCAACTAGATGTTCGTGTCTGCAGAGCTCAAGCTTACGTTTTTTTTTCAGAAACTCTGGAGACAAAAAACCCATCAAACTAAGCTGTCTGGGAGCAACAGTTACATGTCACCAGATCTAATTTTTTTCCCCGCTGCAATGTTTGACATATCCACTAAAAAAGGCTTCTTGAGTGTTTCTGTAGGATTTTAGAACTGTACTCTTGCCAAATTGGTGCCTATTGATTGAATGTGCACACGATATAAATCATATTTTATAAAAGGCTGTCAAAAGACAGCAGATTAGGCACGTCCCTCTGATGGACTACACACATATAGAGAACCAGAACTGTGTCTGTCATCGCATGTCCCCCCCCCCTCCTTCCCTCTCTAATAAGCATATGATATCAGTGAGCTAACTCACACTCTTGTCCTACTTCGGGCCTCCAAGACATCAATAAATAAACCAGAGCGACACTAATAGAATATTTACCCATGTGAAAAATGCCCCAATCAGCACTTGAGTGAAGATGGAAACATGCAAGGAAGAAGGAAATCTTTTTAAAACTTGTACTTTTTTAAAATTCTTCAGACCCAATTTCAAACTTTTGCAGAGGAGGCAGATGAATTCACATGACTCGAACAATACCACAGCTGATTCATGATTTTAATATCCTCTCAGCATCGTGTAGATGATCTGCAGAAAGGACAGCAGATAAAGAGTAAAATCTGTATTTTGGTGGTGGTATTTTTTATTAAAACTGTTTATTGTGTTACCCTGCCTGTCACCCATTGAATACTGGGATAGGCTCCAGTCCCCCCGTAACCCCATTTGGGAATAAGCAGTTGAGAAAATCGATAAAATGGATGGATGTTTACTGTGTTGGATAAGTTACGTGAGGTAATAATTGTTAAAGAGACTGAAGAAGTTTTGATGGGTAGCACTTTAAGACACGTGCTCTGAACTAAATGCCGTCATTGTTCTGATGATTGCTTTATCCTTTATTTAGTACATTAGTATATACAGCTGAGGCCTGTGGAAGCGCTATTAAAGAATCATCATGCATGAATGTTTCGGCAATAACTTTCTTTAACAATTGTGAGAGAATAATTTAAATGTTACTCAGAGATTGACTTTTAAAGACCTGGGGCTTTTATCTCACAGGTGCAATGATTAATGCCATTTTCCAGAAATTTGGGTAAACATGGCAACTAATAAGAGGCAATCAAATGTTAATCTTTTACAAACACCCTACCAAGAAACAAAACCCTGCTCTGTCTGAATTTCAGACGTTCAGCTGAAGGTAGCTATTTTGGCACAGCGGGGAGACATTCAATATGTCAGCTCTGCTCTCTCTGAATGCTTCATTTGTCTTGGTGGTGCACAGCTGACAGTGGTGGATGGTGCATTGAGGAATGCTGCCCTGCTTCAGCTCCAGGGAAGATTCCACAGCTCCAGCAGCAAGGTGACAGCTGCTGCCAAAAACAGACTGCAAGCTAAAGCCGCTGCTGCGGCTGCAAAGCCACAAAAACACCTAAAACATGGATCCACATCAAGGAGGTTACCACCACACGTAACTACAGTGGAGGTATGTTTGTGACTGAGAGTATTCTGACAAGAAATATTTATTATCAACACTTAAAAGTCTGGAGTTGTGACATCTGAAAAGAAACAAAATCCAAAATGCTATTTACATTATTTGTGAAACCTTTAAACCATACTGTGGAAATGTTATTTAACTTCCAGTAAATAGTTATTTTAACAGAACAGAAATAGTGGTCTAGGTATGATTATATATAGTTATAATATAAGTGTTAAATAATATTTAATCCCAGGCTAAATCATGCTGAATGTTTTTCAAATCATACATTTGATATGAGATATGAAGAGATTTGCTTCGGTATGCAGCAAAGAGTTCATTTAAAAGAGCTTTTTTCTTCACAACATAAATACTGATGCATTGGGAATTAAGATTTTTTTGTTTCAGTCTTATGTTTATATGATATTTACATAAAAGTTCCACAGAGAAGTAAAAATCTTTAAAATCGAAAGAGAATTCAAATTATTCCATCATTTATGTAATATGAAAGGAAATAGCATGACATGTAAATATTTGGTGCACATAAATAAAAACTAAATAGTAATTTTAAGTAATGAGATCCTTCAAAAATGCACACCTAGAAATGACTCCTTAAAATCATGTTAGTCCAGCTTATCATATGTAACATACTTATATTCAAAGAGACATTAGAGATGATCTCATACCTTCTTGGGCCAAGGAAGCCTGCTCTGCATTAGTGACCAGCCGGGATGGCCTGAGGGCAGCATGTGCAGCCTGGGTAGCAGCTCGGAGTTTGGGCAGAGTCAAAGACTCACCATGGTCCCTCAGAGAATGCTCCTTCAGCTGACTGATGGTCATCGTGGAGAAGGGACACGACAAGCACTTGTATGTGTACTGCTCACCTGAAGGAAGATGACAAATGTGAGTCACTTGACTTTTATTTAAGAAGAAGACTTGCAGAGCTCAATAAATGGTTGTACTGTAGAACAAAATGGTTTTAAGTAAACATTCTGTAACTTCCTCCTCAAACAAAAAAAAAAGATACCACCTTAAGCGGGCAAGTCAAAAAATGTTCAGAAATATGTGAAAGCATTGTCAATAGGTTAGGGGCTCACAATAGGTTGTGGGCTCACAACAGGTCAGCACAAACTTTTAGGACACAAAAAATGTATTAAAGAAAATGATAAACCAACCAAAAATCTTTTCTTTTTTATTTCAAGTGGCTGATTCACACTGATTTATATGTAAATGGTTTGAAAATGCACCTTCCATGAAGGATAGTGATCACTCAGTACTTCATCTAATATATACAGGTTTAAATAAGCAAGTCAAATACATATGTCCTCTTTGATTTACACACTTTTAGCATATGACTGCCCTTCATCAATGTGTATTTGGCAGCTGTGTTTCCCTCGTGTTTTCAATGTAGCAATGAGGGATTTATAGCACCTTCCTTCCTGTTTCAGATGAGTGTGTTTGCTTAACCTCTAAATTCAAGCAGCCTCCCGAGGACTGGAGCCACACATCCAAATCAGATCTATCTACAACATGGTCCTACGAATAAGTGGCTTAGTTTAAGATATACAAAATATGATCTGAAGCTCCACTTCTCAAGTGTTAACTGCATACGTTTAGTCTTGTAGCTGTTTGTCAGGTTGGACAGTTTTAAAGTAGTTTGTTCTCCATGTACAATAAGGTGGTGGTTTTTCTTGAATGGATAAACTAAAATCTAAAAAATGCATTTGCATAAATATGGTAAATGAGGTGCTGTCATTTGGGCCGGAAGACACCTTGTTATTCACACAAACAGCTGCAAAGTGCGAAAGTGTTTGTTTTTACCTGTGTGAGCCTTATGCAGGTGGCTTTTTAAGCGACTCAGGTAGGCAGATTTAAAGGGACAGAACTTGCACTTAAAAGGCTTGTGGTGCCCGTGGTGAGACTGCACATGTCTGTCCAGGCTGCAATGAGAGAGAGAATATGACATAAGCGGATAAAAAAACAACAAAATGGATAAAATGAGGACAAAACAAAAACAGATAAAGAGAGAAAATGACAATAACAGCAGATATGCTTTAATGGTTTCGGGAGCAGGGTTTTCCTGCTGAATCTAAAGCACTCGGTTCTCTTCACCACTCTAACAACAGCCACGCATTTCCAATGACAACAGAGCAAGGAGCTGTGAAGTGAACTCATCTACCCACAATCCCCTGCAGGGAATGAGTGTGTTTGTGCCTGTTGGGACGGTAGCTGTGTTTTCAATGCCAGCCTCCTAGGTGGCATGGGAATGCAGCTTCTTTCTGGGTCATGGCACATACAGTACAGAGGGATTACACCTGGGAGCTCAGAGGAGATGAGGATTCTCTCTTTCCCTCTCACTCTGTGTCTCTGTGACGGATAAAACAAATCACACATCCAAAATGCCTGTCTCTCTCCAATGTTTGTCTTTCTCTCATGGTAGGCAGGAAATCTCAGAGAAGATTGAAGATTCAGCGGGATTGTGATCAGGTAAACAGAATGAGGTGCAATACTTTGCTCGGTACAAAATGAGTTCAATATCCAGGTGATCTGAGGAGCAGCTGTTGCAAGAACAGCAAAGTATGTAAGAGTAAAAGTTGCTTTAAACTGAACATACTGTCATGGTTCACACTGTTCATCTGTTTCTAATTGGAATGTCGTTTCATCTATATAATTCTCAGTGCTGACTGCCAAGTTACTGCTAATGCAAACCAAACGCTTCCTCTAAGCACTGCTCTGTGGAGGGAGCATTAAAAACACCACCTGGAGGACAATCACTAAACATCATCAGATCTGAGCACAACTGAATGAAAAAATACGCTTACAAAAGTATATGAACCTCTAGAATTCCAGTTTACACTAACTGATCGGTCTCTTAGAGATGCTTCATTTTAAACGGATGTAAAGGACCATTGGTGCAAGGCAGGTATCTCTGCTGCACCCTCTCATTTTATGACCATGAAAAAATTGATCTTAAATCTATACATGATTCAGTCAGGTAAAAAAAAACATTACAGTGAAACTGCTTAAACCATTATTCACTCAGATCATTAATCACTGTTATAGTATCTAACACAGATCTCAATCAGGCATGTTTAATGCATCATGCTGAAATCCCTGCATTTCAGTTGAAGTGAATACATTATAAAGACTGTTTCATTCATAAATAACACGTGAACGGGCGGAACGAGTTGGCGTGTAATGGTCCTGTTTCCTCCTACTTACTTGTGTCTGAATGGTGAGACAAACTGACAGTACTGGCAGCTGTATTTGTCCTCTCTGCTGAACAGTGCCATGGCTGAGTGGCTCCTCTCATGTGACCTCAGCCCCTGCATGGACATGAAGACTCTGTCGCACTGGGCACATGCGTGACCCCCCGCTGCTAAGCGCTGCTTCAGCTGGCTCTCTGACACCACGGCCCTGGCCGCAGCCACAAGGGCTGCCGCTCTTCCCTCAATGGCCTCGGTGTCTGGGTCGAGAGCCTCCACGGCAACGTCAACCCCACCTGAAGCCGTGGAAAACGGCGAGCCCATTGTTGAGGCTTCAGGTCTCTCCAGGTCATCAGTGTCACCTGCTTCATCCAACTCCAGGCCGCCATTGGTTAGGGTCTTTGAAGGTAGGGTCAGGGGAACCTCACTGACTTCCTGCTGTGAAACAAAGACAAATCTCACGTTAATCAAAGGATCAGCAATATTAATAATTCAAGTCTGTTGCTAAGATGTAGAATTTTTTTTATAAAAAGCCCAGAGCAGTCCATTTATAACTGTTTCCAAACTGTTTTTATACATAATATTTCCAAATAAAAGGACACTTGTAATTGAACATGAACATGTGCACGTAAATGCATCCTTTCACTTGAAAGATCAACTACAGAAAAAACTATTTGGCATTAAGTGTAAAATAAACTTTGGTGGGAACAATTATCTTTATAAGTCTTTCAAATTGATTTCATTTTTATTTGTTTGTGTAGATGAGCATGCACTGAATTTTTCCGGATACTGTGAAAAATCATTTGCCCCAAGTTTGGTTTTGCTAAATAATATTGTTGTGTGATTATTGATGATCACAACATAAAGTCAAACCATAAGCATTTTTAATTAACAAATGTAGCTACAATTACATCCCCATCGTCTCTTTCTAATCTCCCTCAGCTGCTAGGGTGCAGGAGCGCTCGCTGGTCACTGCAGCCATCACAAGCAGACAGACAATCACCATGACTTTTTTATTGCCTCGAGGAAACTCATTCTTTCTGTGGAAGAACCTGACCCTGCACTTCATGCAGCCATAAATAAGATGTGGCATTCACAGGCTCAACCTTGCCATCCGGCCCCTAAATTCTCTGTTAGACTGTTCTCCATCTACCTCTGTGAGAAGCCTGTGCAGTTCCTGAAATAAAACTGCATTTCAGACACCAGGGCTAACATTTGTTTTTATTCTGAATCATGTGGATAAAAAGATTGATTCCATCTGGTGGAGATGTTGCATGTGATTGCAGTCATTTACGTTGTTTACTATAAACGTTGACAGGTAATACGTAACCTTGGATGAGTTAGCGCTGTTAGGATGAACAGGTGTATAAGTCAAACAGTAACTTGCTCATTCCATTTTGTATAGGGACTTCAGCTACCACAGCCAAAGACGAGAGGGCATTGCTGTCACTGTTTCGCTCCCAGTTGACTGCAAGGCTTATCTCAGACATGTAAATACAGTCTGAGTGCCCGATGGAAGAACCAGGCCTCCACTTGGGTGAGGCATTGGATCATAAGGCCTGTTCCCCTTGCTGGCAGCCTCGGTGGAATACTAATGTTCGAACGGTTACTGCTGCCCAAAAAGTTATGGCTCGCCACGCCAACCTCCATTCAAAAGCAAAGGGACAGCATTGCTTGTTTTCTCTGGGGAAACCTGACACACTGTCTGCTCGGATGCCTATGTTAGAAACAGCCAAATTGGGAAGCAGACACCAGGTACATTAAAACAGAGCATGCCAGTGACCGGAGGACGAGAGTCAGAAAGTAATGCAGATGAACAAAAGCGAGAAGTGTTCCTTTACACTACGGCGACATAAAACTCTCTGTTCATCTGCCTTTGGCAGAATAGGAATAAACTATGCATACTTCACATCTGCATGATACCTCATTTTGGTGGGACGGTGGGACATTTTATAATAGACTTTTAGATATATTTATGGACAGGAACAGGAATTGTAGATCACAGATGACACGGGAATATATATGTGACACAAGTACTTTGTGCTACAAATTGTTCAATGAAACAGCATAATCTTAATTAAAAAACTAAAATAAAAGAATCAACCCTGAGGTGAAACACAGATTTAAAGGTGCTCTGGCATCACTATCTCAAATATTGTAATTATGTTCTTGTCTTTTTGGATATAAGCACCCTAAAATTTCTCTGAACTCTTACAAACCACCTTAATCCTTTGACAACATTCCCCACCTTGAACTGACTAAGTCTGCATCCATGTCTTTACTGAAGATTTAGTGCCATTCCAAAACCTAAGATGAATTAGGAATATAATGTCTGAAAGTTGAGAGATTCTTTTTCTCCACTCAGATCTATAGGGATTCCTGAGGTTGATTTAACTGGATACACTGTAACCTCTGGAAGATGTCAACTCACATGTTTTAATACAAAAAAAGCCGCTTTGAAGCCACAACCAGCAGCTGTGCAAAAGCTACGTGTGACTCATGAAAGCTATTACACAAGCTTACTGCATGCCTAAATGGCTACAATCTTCCCATTGAAACTTTTCATGCTTGTTAAATCCAACCTAACAAACAGCTGGCTATAGCTTTATGTCTCGCTGAGAATAATCTAAATGTATTTTTTTCTCAGTATTTTTTCTTTAGCAGAGTTAGGTAATAAATTAAAACAAATAGCTGTGTTCAGGCCTGGGAGTATGTCAGGTGGAAATGGACGAGAGGAGGAGTATACCAAGAACAGTAAAAACAGAGACAACAGAGCAAGACTGGAGAATGAATGAAAATTATTCACAGATACAATCCAACCTAACATGTTGGTTTTTGGACGGTGATTAAAACCAGATCACCCAAAAAAAAACACCACACAGGAACTGGTGAAACATGTAAACTCCACAAAATCAAGAGTTGATTTTCTCTTACCTGAGGACATGATTTCCTAGTAATAACAGATCGGTCATTACTATTAATGGTTATGGTTCTCATTATGAAGAGATTAATCCTTTGAAACCTTGTGGTGAGATAAATCTACCAATTATATCAAGTAAAAAATGAGTGTCAATTAATCGCATCTGATCTGAGCTTCTGGATCACGACTTGAGACATGTTGTTCCAGCAGTTCGTCCTTCCAGAGCGTGTCACCTTCTCCCTCTCTGCTTTAGCCATAAGCTGCTTGGGTAAAATGTGATTTGAGCTGTCACTGCTAAAGATGTCAGACCATCCTGCCACCTGACATCTTTAGGTTTGATCGGTTGCGTCACTTTCTTGTCTTGTGTTAACTTTACCTTGACATGACCCTCTTTGATTTCTCCGTACTGGACGTGCTTCCTAAGATGGTTGCAGATGGCTCGAAGGGTGGGATGGATCTCTACACAGAAGTTGCATTGGAATCCTATGGGGGTTTTATTAGCTGGGCTTTCCTAATCAAAGAAAAACAAAAAAGAAACAGTTTATTTCACAGCCTTTTCCTGTGTCTAAAATCTTACAGCCATAGTCCAAAATTTGGAATCCTGATTTTGAAATATGCACTCCACATTTAATGTGCAATAAATGGGTTATGTGCTGTACATTTATAGTTTAATTAATGGCAATTACATGTTTAAATCAACTGATGTATTTGCCATAGCCAGGAGAAACAATTATCTTTTCCTTAAATGACCTTTTAACCAGAATGTAAAACAATAACTATCCTTTAAATTATATCAATTTTGATTAACAATATTTCTAATAAAATCATAATGAACCCAATTATAATGCGTCATTATTGAAGTACTTCTACATAAATACTGACAGTAAAGGGGGCAGAATGAGCTAAGTAATTCTCTCCTTAATTGTCTCCTCATTTCAGCTTTTTTAAGGGTATAACAGTTGTTATTACCTCAGTAAATGAAAATTTGTGAAGTCATGTTCAGCAGATATGCTTTGCATACATTTGTTTAAAAAACAAAACATGGCGGCATGATGGGTTACGCTCACCTTTTCAAGTTTATTCTCTGGCAGATCTGAGGCTTTGTGTTTGCTGAGAAGCTGCTTTCTTCTCTCCTGCCTCATGGCCCTCTTCTGAAACTCCTCATTGTGATTCAGTAGATGTTTAGCCAGACAGGGAAGAGTCAGGAACTTTAGCTCACAGTGAGAACACTGGTATAACTCTGATTCCTCATCCTCTGGAGCAGGGGAAACCAAGAAGTCCCTCTTTAAGTCTATGCTGTGGTGATCATTGTAGTGCATAGAGAGCAGCTGGCCAGTGCTAAACGATAACCGGAAGCATTTCAGACATTTAAACGGCAGCCAGTCGTCTTCTCTGTCCTGCTCGGGCTCAAGCGGAACCTCCAGTATTTCCTTGACCTCCTCTGCCAAAGGGCTCGCCTCAACCTTCTCGGGCTCTTTGGCATAAATAACGGTGAAGTAGCGACCAAGTTTGCTAGAGTGCTGCTTCTTGGGGAAGACACCTGGGTGGCGTTTGATGTAGTGTGAGACAATGCTCTTCCTGCTGAAGGCTTGGAAGCCACAAAGATTGCAGCGTCGTCTTTCCACGGCTAAACGCAGGTCTTCGCTCATTTCTGAACTTTCTGCTTCCAACGGTGGCTGCGGAATCACCTTGCTGGGCTTTTCGCTCATAGTCTTCGAGGCAGCCAGACAATGGGTGTAATAGGCATCAATATCGTGCCTTTTCTGGTAGTGTGCTGCCAGGCCTTTGCGTATAGGGTTTGTGTATGAACACAGAGCACATTTGAAGACATTATTTTTCCCCTCTGGCTGAGCTCGGACATTGTTGTGCTTGATGCGATAATGGCGAGCAATGCCCTTCCTGGTTGAGCAGAAATACTTACAGAGCTGACACTTGAAGATAGCATGTTTCTCTGTCTTATTGACAGGTAACTGAGCGAGAGCAACATCCAATTCATTCACATCCTGGACTTTTCCACTCGACATAATGCTACCACTGCATTCAGCAATTGGCTCGGTTTCTTTACCGGAGGAAAAATGAGTCAGCGACGGCGAGAACATATCCGAGGCAGACTGATTGTGATATTTCTCATAGTGGATCTTGAGCTTCTCCAGCGTTCCATGTGTGTATGGGCACATCTTGCATCTGTATGCGCCGTAACCCTGCCTTTGAGTTTTGAACTTGTCATCTCCTTCATGCAGCTCAGTGATTTGCTCTATATCATCTGCAAAGTCCTCTGCTGTAACTTTCACCAGCGGATGTCTTTTCTGGTAGTGCGTTAGGACTCCGTGGATGCGGGAGTTCACATACGGACAGTGACGGCATTTATACACAGAACTGGGGTTGATGTCTGCCTCCTGTGCAAAGTCTGCAGCTTTTACTTTCATGCCTGGGTGCTTCTTGCCGTAGTGAGTGAGGAGTCCATGGAGGCTGTTGTACTCTGACAGACAAACGGTGCACTGATAAGGATTATTAGAGATGGAAAGACGTGGGTGGGAAGGATGGGGATTGGTTTCTTGAGGCGGGGTAGCAATGATTAGCGCTCCATCCTCCTCAACAGGCTGGCAATTCAGGGGTGCCTGCTCTATGGCAACCTGCTCATGGATCTGTTCAGTTGGGTCGCTATCTTTGATGATATCCAGGAGCACAGATTCGTCCCCTTTGACAGCCCAGGGATGGACAGCCTGGTAGTGACTAGTGATGTCCCATATGGTACAAGCCTCAAAGGCACAGTCTCTACACTTATAATGTTTAGTTTCCATATTGCCACCTTGTTGGGTGGTTTCAGGCCCAGCCCACAGCTTGCTGGCCATGTATGCATAATCCACATTATGTTCGGGGTGGCGTCTTTGGTAGTGGAGCAACAGGCCTTGGGGCTCAGAATGAGAGTAAATGCACCATTCACAGTGATAACCTGCCTCCAGAATGCCATCTTGGTAGGCCCAGTGTAAAATGGTGAGGGCTGTGGCTTTCACAGTCGGGTGCTCTTTCTTCAGATGCTTCTTCAGCGCATAGACATAGGGGGATGTATGGGAGCAGTGTTTGCATTTAAGGGAACGTAAAGGCGTTGCACTTTCAGGGTCGGGGGGAGCTGTGATTACAGCAGAGGAGGCACCGCCTGACTGGACCATCTGTGCGCGCTCACGCTGACTCCTCACTACTGCAGTGTGACGACGCACCAGGTCAGCATTGGCCTTAGTTTCCCTATGCTTTTTCTGGTAGTGGATAAGCACTCCTTTCACGGTGCGGTTGCCGTAATCGCAGTGCTGACAGAAGAACAACTCATCCTCACCTTTGTCACTGGCCCCCAGTTTGGGACTGGAGTTACTGGAGCTGTCATGACCATTATTTTGAAACTGCTTCAAAAACTGTTTGGGAGCTGCAATTTGCAATTCATCCATCAATTTCATCAAGCCAGGGGTTGGAGCACCATGTTTGATATATTTAGCTGTCACTTTAACTTCTGGGTGTCTTTTTTGATAGTGGACCAACACGCCGACCACAGATCTGTTGCTGTACACGCAGTGTTTACAGTAGTACATTTCCTCATCCGATCCATACACTGCTGCACCCAACTGTTTTGGAGTGGTTGATATACTGGGGCTGAATGAGGAGTTGGCTACAGACTGTGACTGATCCACAGACACCACCTTCATGGTTTTCTGTATGCGAAAATAAGATGCCTTTTGCTCTGGATGTTTTTTCTGGTAATGGACCAACACCGAGTGCATGTTAGGGCTGGCAAAGGAACACACGTCACAGTCATAGACAACAACATTACCACTCATTGTTTCTTTGAGAGGTTCTGCCTCTGCACTGGCTTCAGGGGACTTGGGAACTGTTTTCAGTACTGGACTTGAAGAGGACCTGGGCATGGAAGTGGATGAGTTAAAGTTTTTTGGGCCAGAGTTTAATATTTCCCTTAGAGTTTGAGATTCACCTGTTTTGTGACTCTGCTCCACAATGTAGCTGGAGAAGATCATGGCGTTGTTGATCTTTACTGTGGGATGCATTCTTTGGTAATGGGGCATTAGGCTCCTGACATTGGGACTTGTGTATGAGCAAAAGCGGCACATGTATAACAGATGCGGCTGGTTGAAGTTGAGCACATTGCTCGCCTCAGGGTGGTGGTCCATGTAGTGTTGATGTAAATCGTTGTAATTTGTGTATTCAATGTAGCACTCCAAGCACCGGAACACTGCGCTCTGGTCTTCTGGGTCCAGGATGTATTTAAAGCTGAACTTGATGTACGGGTGCATTCTCTGGTAATGAGTGCTCACACTCCGAGCAGATTTGTTGTGGTAATCACAGTGTTTACAGTAGAAACGTACTCCAGATCCCTCAGAATAGTCCATGTTATCTTGGACTGAGCTGTCATTGGGGTCAGCTGAGATGTTCTCACTATCGTCCGAGAGAGTCAGAGATATGGGAATGCTTCTAGGCTTTGACTTGGGGTTGCTTTTTCTCTTCCCTATTCTGCCTCCCTCGTGAGCGATTGCTGAGTCTCTTGCGTGAAGCTGCTGCGTGGTGTAAGCAAAAACAGGATTGTTGTTGTCGTGGTTTCTGCCCTCGTCAGCACTGGCATTATTTTCAAGAGCGTCTTCGTCGTCCATCTCATCCAGATTTATAATCGCATCTTGTTGGCTTTGGCTAATCTTACTCTGAAGGTTGCTTGCAATTTCATCAATTCTGGTTCGCTTCTTGACTGAGGACAAATCCAAAGGCAAATCATTAATAGACTTTCTGGCTCTTTTCCCTGACACTAGGGCTTTTTTGGTGGCGAGTCCTAAAATGGGCGTTTGGGTTTTTTGTAGGAAGATTGGAGAAGCTTCCACTTCAGAATCCGGCTGGTCTGTCAGCTGGGCTTCAAAAACAGTGGAATCTAGGTCATCACAGTAGGAATGCTTATGCTGCTGGTGGACCCTCAGACCTTTCAGGGTGGTGGTGGAAAAACTGCAAAGCGTGCAGCGATGAGGGTTCTGCTGGTCATTTGATGTGCTGGTTGCCTTTTTTCCGTTTATTCTAGAGCTTACGTTCCCTCCGTTCACCGGCTCTGAAGCGCTCTCATTCTGCGGCTCTGGGCTATCACCTGTAAGGTCCAAAGTCTCTAAATCTGTGGGATTGTGGGTCTGTTTGTGCGTGCCTAGTTTCAGAGGGCTGGTGCAAATGAAAGGGCATTCATCACATTTATACACTGTGGCTTTGCCGGAGAGGTGAATATTTTCAATGTGGCGGGAGATGCTCCGTCTGTGCATGGTGAGGAAGGAGCAGAAGGGGCACTGAAACCGGTTCATGTACTTTCTGAAGGGTATGCCTTTAGTTTCCAATAATTTGTTATCGTCATCGGTTAAAAGCTGCTTTACATCTGCAGACAAGGTTCCAGTATAGTTTGGATCGTCAATGTCGCCCAGGTCTTCGTCATCATCGTCATCCTCTAAGCTGCTCCTAGAGTCTTCGTCATTAAGCAAGTTAGAATCTAGCTCTGTGACACAGTTGGAGACATCAGGCGAGGCAAACCTCTTTGACAAAATGGAGGAACCTGTGCTGTTAGGTGTTACTGCACTGATTTGTGCATACTGAATGGATGAGATCTCTGCCACTGACTTATCTGGGTTGCCTTCCGGTGCTTTCGCCACTGATTCCTCATTTCCGCTGGAGCTCATCTTTGATCTGGTTGGGCTTCGGGAAGAAGAAGGGGAATGTGGTTTGGGTGAGCTTGAACCTGCCTCTCCTTCATTCTCCACAGTGCCGGAGATGATCTTGACCTTATCGCTGTGCTCCTTGACCACATGATTTGTCCAGCTGTCTTTCTGGTCAGTCTGATAGTCACACCATTCGCAGGGAAACGTCCCCTTCGCGAGGTCACAGGCTGAATCAGAATTCTCTTCATTTTCAACGCTCTCTGAAGGCTCCCCAGTGCCATCCGAGGGAACCTTGTTATGATACATCAGTTGGTGTTTCAGTATCCTTGCTTTGCGGGGAGATTTGTATGTGCAATGTTGACAGGAATACATTTTTGAGTTATCATTGTGCATTATTACAGTGTAGCAGGGCTGCTTAGCTTTCTCCGAGGAGATGCTCGCATCTGAATCCTCCTCCGTGACATTATGGACCTTTTTGGTGTGGTTTCTTAAGAATGACTTTGATCGGAAGTAACGGACGCAGAACTTGCACTGATAAAATGGAAGATGGGTTTCAGCTGCCTGCTTTTGGGATATTTGGTTGGGGCCATCTGTAGAGTTAGGACCTAGAAAAAAGAGAAATATACAGAGATTTGATAACTATTTCAACTTTTCAGTGTCTACAACAATTAATCTTGAGTTTCTTATTGCTTCTAAATATGGCATATCATCATTCTGCCCTGAGGAGTAAATTAAAATAGATAAAGATGTGTCTCTTAATCCTCAACAAAATAACAGCAACATCTGATTAACGTGGTAGGCATACTCATTCCAGCTTTAGAAGGCGTATAATCCTTGTCATCCTGATCCACATATTCCTCTCCGTCCTCCTTGTCCTCATCCTCGTCTTTTAGGGAATCAGACTCATCTGCATCTGCAGGCTGCAGAAAAACAGTGTGCACTTCCTGAATGTGAGTCTTCAAGTCATCACATGACTCTGCACGGAAGTCACAGCCATCACACTGCAATAGCTCCATCTCTGAAAAGGGGTAGAACTCCCTGGAAAATCAGGGAAACCTGTAAAAAAAAACAAAAAAAAAACAATCAATAAATAAATGCATATCTACATTTTCAAAGAATCAGTTAACAATGTCATTTGATGAATAATTTACAATTCTATTTCAATTTTTTGCATTGTTGTTCACCCATCAAGAATATATATCATATATACACCAAGCTTGTATATTTGATACTTGATCATTAATTTAGCATTGTGATACAGACTTTAAAATCTGAATAAAATATATTAGTGATATAGCTCCCATCCAAACATCCCACTGACATTATTAGGCAATATTCCCATATAAATTGAAAAAACCTATTGTAAAACAGGGTCAAAGGGTCATAAATACACCTAAAAATGTGTCTCCAGATTTGCCCTAGAACTCAAAAAGCTCAACATCACACAGCAGAGGAGGACTCAACAGATGCTGCAGGTTCCATTCTTTAGTTCAGAGTCATTCAAAGAACAATGGAGGGACTGATGACGGATTATGGGTTGATTTGTCCCATTTTTATTACCTTGGGATAAGCAAACAGCTGGACAGCAGCTCCACAGAACAGTATTTAGAGTGGGCTATTCCATCAGACTGTATTAACTGCAATGAAGATTGAATGAATGAAGAAACAAAGGCTTTATATGTTTTGATGTCATTGTAGTTTGAATGTGTCTTGAAAATGGAGTCATGACAAATCACATATTTTCAGCACATGTAAGGGTTAAGTTATGTTTAAGATACAGACGGCACAACTGGTGTGGTACTGTTTTAAAAAAAAATGGTTTGGGGGAATTTCTTTTGGTTATTTATCAATTTATTTAAAACAGATTTATGACCAAATAATCACACGCACAGCAACATAATTTACTTTTCTGTTTGTGGTGCTGTCTCTTCTTGTAGATATTCCAGTATTTGACCTGTGTTTAACTCTAAAGGAAATATCAAAACATAATTTCCTGGCTAACTGCGGCAACACGACTGACTGGGGCTCCAAAAATGAAGAATATTTGTTTCCACAAAGTAGGCGAAGGCCATGAACAGACATCAAAGTGCTCCCATCTTGCACTTTTCACTGTCTGAATTATTGTCAGGAAATTATAGTTAACAAAAGCTTTGAAAAGTTTGAAAGAAAAAGGAAACATTTTATGAATGGATGAAAAGAGCGAGCACTAAAACATTGTAGGCGACTTTACAGTGCTGCTTTAATGTTTATGCACAAAGGTTGAGAAGAAAAAAGAATTAAATTGGCTCTGTACAGATGTATTTGGAAGTAACATAAGTAGTATTTCTTTAAAAGAACACAACTCCATCCCTCATTCGCTTTAGGCTGCTAGCAGTGTGAAAAACTGTATGGAGAGATAAAAGAATGGAGACTGACCACAAACTAGTGCTTTAAACCATAAAAGGTAGATGCCTCAGCTTGTATTTTACTTTTCACATAATACAAAATTAATGTGTAGATCTAAAAATTCTTAACACTCTGTAAGCTCAGACAAAGGGAGGGAATTTACCAACTGATTGTTTAAGGACTCTGAAGACACCTTCATTTTTCTTTACTATTCCTTAAAATCATGAGATGAAATAGCAAATGTGAATTGACATTTGAATAATAGAGCATTATTATGTGTGTAATGAGATGGATGTGTGGTTTGACTACACAGCGCCCAAACTCAAAGTCAAACCACTGGACTGAAACAACAGCAATTAAACAAATACTCAAACACGCTCTGTGGATCCGCAGGCCACTTCTGTTTTCACGTGTTAAAATCATCTAAGCCTGAGCAGCAGCTGTATTTTTTAGTGCATTTTGTTAGTCTTTCAACTTGAGAGTGTAATGTCAGGGTCATTGACAAGTGACATTCCCCACACCGCTCTCTGGCACTACTCAAACTAAGGATGCCCGGGAAGTCGGATTCATTTGAACACTGGAGATCTTTTATTTGACACAAATTAAAGTGGCTATCTACTGTAGAAAGCTAAAAAAAAAAAATCATGGATGTGCAAGTTCGCACAAGTTTGCAACATTTGCTGAAAGGATAAGGGATTTTCTAAGACTGGTCTTAATACCAAGTATTTATTTGTGGACTGCATAATCTAAGGGGCAAAATGCATTGGAGAATATTAATGGTTTCCAATGTGAAAGAAACCCTCCACTAATTCAACCTTTATCTTGAAAAGACGTCCATGTTTTGTTGAATGTATACAATGTTACGCAATGTTTAAAAAAAAAAAAGTAAAATCAAATGTTACTGTCACAAATCATACAATGATAATTTTTGATCGGAGAGGGGAAACATATTTCTATCATTATTCAAAGGTTAAATCGCTTAACATTAAAAATCTAAATGACCCCATAGGTTGGCAGTAGGGTTGAACAAACCTTGACACTTTTTTTTTCTCAGATGACAAAAATCATTGGGGTATGTGAACTGTGAACTGTGTCGATTTTACACATGGCTGAGAGTTAACAGGTCCAGTGCAGCGCCGTTTCATATAAACACGGATGGATATGGATCGGTTTAACCAGTGGTCACTAACAGAACTGTACAGATGACAAAAACAAAACAATACCCCCGTCACCTTTAAACACACAGCTCAACTAAAGAGAAGGTTACATCTCGTTGTCAGCATTATGAATATTTAATCCAAGTGGCTACTCAAATCTTAATCGTTACGCCGCTAGTGAGGCTGTGCGCCCATCAAAGTGTTGTGACAGTTACATCTAATGGCAACAACTGTACATGCACAGGAAAACCACAATGGCTACCAACTTTGAAGACGTGCGCGTCTCTGTGTGCATGCACAAAGAGGTTTACCTCGACCTTTAGCTTCTGCATGTCTGTATAAGCATACATACAAAATGTTGTACGGGCCCATGGTTTCAGCACATCCGTATGTAAATCAGAATCAGAATCAGAAATACTTTAATAATCCCAGAGGGAAATTATTTAAATTAGTAGACTTCATTTATCGATGTAAACATTCGGCTTGTAGAAAACGTGGATGCTGCTTACTGTGTTGGCTACAATCCAAGTCGCAATAATAATGTAATTCTGCTTCAACCTGGCTATCGATGTCATTTCAGGAGAGTGAGATCCAGCCAAAGACAGTTGGGAATCCAAACCTGTTTCACACACCCAACTGGCCATCTAGTGGAGAGCTCAGCACGAGCTCAACTGCCTGCATGTCCCACAGCAACCAGGGGATCCATTGTTGTACAGGGTCAGGTTACAGTCTCACCACATGGCCCCACCCAACTCTCTTGGCAGTTCACTGCTGTTTGGAACAAAGTTGCCTCCTAATGCCAGGTTCCTTGACATGGATATCAAGAGAAGCTTTCTGGAAAGGAGGGGAGAGGAATGCCCATGAAATAGAAAGGGGAAAAGAAAAAAAATCCTGTCATACAACCATCTGCCTTACAGTTGGCTGTGTCTTTTCAGCCGGCCGGTCTAAGCGCCACACCAAGTTAATGGGTGAGATTGTGCAACCGCTTTCATCTCGTCAGCTGGGGCCCTAACAGACAGCCACTGAGCTGCTCAGATCCTCCTCTGAGCTGAGTTTCAAGGGCAGCCATTTTAGGAGCCGACTATGTGTGCTTAGGTGTTCAGCCAGCACACAACATGGACCCGCAGATCTGATCCTCTTCCTCAAAGGCAGGCAGCCTGTCGCTGGAGAGCCGCTGACAGAAATCTATCTGCCAGATGTACAGCAGTGTACCCAAGCCCTCTGCCCACACAGCTCAGCATCGCTCGCTCACTCCCGCCAGCCCGGCTCTGCCCAGCCTTTTTCATTTCTCTGGAACATTATCTCACACATCAAGAGATTTTCAGGGGAACGCTAGATTCCTCTCCTCAAGGAAAGAAAGAATGGGTCAGAGCAAGCCTTGCGCACGAAAAAATGACAGCTAACGCGTTTGCAGAAGCTGCCAACTTCTCTCCACAAGGGGGTCTAAAAATGTGAGGCATGTCTGAACTTCTTTATCTCAGGGCTCTGCAACCCTGAGCCCTGAGGAGAAGATGAAAAAGGGGGAAGGCAAAGCAAGGGGGGAGAGCGGGCCTGAAGGGGAAGGGAAGGGTGGGAGGAGAAGGGAGGCAGAAAGAGCATGACGGAGCCACCTGGAAGACCTTTGGTAGTGAGCAACAGAGGACAAAGCCATCAGACTGGGCTCCCTAGATTCCAAAGTCTACTGACATTTGTTAATCACCAACCGGTCTCTCTGCATCAGCAAGCTCTGCCAGCAGTCACACCCTCTACTCAAACTGGCTGACAGCAGCTGCTCTGTCTGAAAGAGGGCCTTTGAATACGCCAGCATTAAGCTGATTAGTAGTACAGAGGTTTTGTCCTTAACTGTTGGTTAGTGCAACCATCTCATGCCGTCTGGGGGAGACAAGTCCACAAACACGTTACATTAGTATCAGACCAGCTCTGCAGCTACAGATGATTCATTTGGGAAAATAAGACAGGGTGTACATCATGTCAGCCTCAACTATGAATGATTCACTGATCGAATATAACAGAAGGCACTCCAAAGGAAAAATTCACTGTCGATAACAGGTAGGCTTATTTTTTTTTTAGATCAATACATTTTTAGTTCAAACGAAGTTATTGAAAAAAGGAAGAGAAAGCACATGATAATTGAACTTTGGATTCCTTTAACACACAGTTTTTACTAGAATGGCCTCAGAGGAGAGTAGAGGACAGGAGAGAAAGATCTTATTGTGACTGCAGAGAAGATGTCCCACTGAGAATTTGTTCTCTTGCACAAAGAGAAGATACAGTACAGTGGAATTCAAGATGGCTACCTCATATATTCAGTCTTACCTCTCCAACGTACTGATAGAAAAAAAGCAGGAAATAAAAGCAAAAATGTGTTGAAACTGGTCCAGAAATAAAAGGACATAGAGTATCCATGTCAAAGATGGATTTGTTTTTTTTTATTTATACAATTTGGGCAGCAATGAGCACTGTTACTCTTTAAAACACTCTTTGAAAGTTTTCTAATGTTTTTTTTCTGAAAGCTTTTCTTA